CATACATATGTGCCCACTTCGGTAGGAATTGCATTTCTACATTATAAAGAACAGTTCAGCAGTAGGGAAATGTTTTCAGTGCATAGTTCCACAAACACCGTCATTTGATCTTTGCTCTTTTAGAAATAGTTCTAAAATTTAATCATAATATCTTTAATAATTCCAATAATTCAGTACAAAGACTACTTTTTTTTTTCTAGAATTCGTCTCTGCTTGCTTCAGTACAAAAACATTCAGGAAATGTCAGCTTTAGAATGCTATTGGAATGAAGCTGGCAAAACCCAAACCGGATCAAATTCATTGCACGTGACCACTGAGGCTTTGAGTAATCGAAGACTTACTGATTTACATCGATGCCATTTTTTTAACTGCTTTATCCAGGATCAGGGGGAGGCTGGCACCTATCCCAGCAAGCAACAGGTACAGGGGTACACCCTGAAGAGCCCACCAGGCTGCAGGGCACCTACCGCGTTACAGACTCCCATTTTTTCCTTTTGGGTTCACAACAGGGTTTCCTGTTGTGTGTACTCACGCCATGTGACTGGGAGAGGCTGCAGGTGAGCAGGTGGCCCTCCAGCCCAGCGGTCTTCAGCGGACGAGCCGCGCGGAAGCACGGATTTCAGCTGTGCGTGTAGCAACGCTCACACTCGGCGCACTGCAGCAGATCCGGCCCCTGAGGCGTCTTTTTCCTTTCGGTGTCAATCTTGGAATAACCCCGCCCAGTGCGGTTTCTCGGGCTGAGCTGCTTGGCGTGACCTTAAACACCTGCGACCTCACAGACGCCTCTTGTCTTGTCACGGAAGCAGAGGTGGGCATTCGGAGGCTCTCATTTCTGGCCTGTTTTGGAAATACTGAGTTGCACTGGGAGCCGGTGGGTGAAAGGCTTATGATGGATCGGATGTTGTTTGTTGTTTTTTTTTCACTCCAGATAATAAGGTACGAAATCCTATCAGGTGACGCCGCCGTTGCTTGGCAGCCGCGCCCTTGGCAGGAGCAGTGCGCCAGTCTGGCAGGGTGTTGAAGGGCGTCGCTTTCTGAGCACGCCGACACCGTAGTTCTTGAAATGTCAAGAGATTCCGAATTCTAAAATGAAATCGGCGTGCGAAAAGTCAGGGGGGGGTGTATTGACTAGTTTTAGCCGTTTTAGGAAGTGAATCATCAGGTTTTTTCATGTAATTTGCAGTTTTCTTTAAAAAGGGAAACTATACGTGATTAAAACCTCATCAAGTGGAATGTTGATTAGCTTTTGAAATCTAGCGTTTGGATGGAGCTTTGCGCACATGTTCTCTGATGGCTTGGAACTCACTTTAAGGTTGTACTGCCTGCCCCACCAGTATTGTCAAGAAAGAACTTCCGGTCAAGTTCACTGCAAAAGGCCTCTTTGTTGACTTCTTTTCATCATGATTGTGATTGTAATCATGCCAAGCTGGTGCTGATATCCTTAGGACAATCAAATGTATTTTTTTCAATGAATTCATTGTGGTTATATGCTGTTGTTCAGGAATAGATGCCATTAAAAACTGTGCCGATATATCTCCTTTGAATTTTCATCCATAGCTGGAAATCCTTGGACCAATAAGTTGCTAATAACCAAGCAAGGCAGATGCTGGTTAAGTTTTCTCTGCTGTGATAGGATAGGCTTGTTGCTGCAGTAATATCACCATTGCCTGTTAGCTTGATGCCAAGAGCATCACTTATTTACAGCCTTCTGATCATTACCTCTTCATGTGGGGTTATAGTTTCTCTAGTTTATTTTTTTCTGGTGAATTCAGCAGGCTAACCATCCAGAACTTTGAGTTGCAGTCATGTCTTCACAGGGCAAACGTGGCTGATTTGGTCTGGGCAAGCATACTGTTGTCATAGGCACACGCAGAATGTGAAAGAAGGAGCAGAGGGAGTATCTGTTTTTAATTCAGTGGTCAATTTGCATTCTGATGTATATTCTCCTAAACATTCTGGGTGTGGATCTCCAGTCACATAACTGTGTTCTGGTCAAACCCATTTTTTTATTGTTAGTCTTTTAACAATTGCAACCGCTTATGAGCTGTAAATGCAAAAAGAACAATCTTAAAATAAATAGTAGGATGATTCATCAGAGGAAGTGAGGAAATGAATCAAATCCAGTTTGCATTCTTAAGAATGTTATTCAGAATTTGTATTTCCTAATTGTTCTATTGATTTCAACACTGACTTGCCTGAATGTCATTATCAAGCACGCCGTCCTCCATGAACATTTAATTGAAGATCAAATAGGCCAGCACTCCCTTGGTATTGCATATCGTACATCCTCAAACAAATAAGGCCTGTGTGTAGGTTTCCAGTGGCTCAGTGTGAGAAATGACAGTGGCGGTGCTTTGTTCCTGGCGCGCCACAGTTGCCTCTCTCTTCCTCTTGTCTGATGGGCTTGAATAGGTGATTAAAACAGCAGATGTTTCATTAGGGCCCCGATGTATTCATGTGTATGCAGGCTCAGGGAAGGCGGAGGGGTGGTGGTGAAGGAGACCTCTATGGCTGCTCCGCAGAATGACGGGAGTCACATTTCATTGACTCTTAATGAATTTACGGGCTGTGCCAAGTGGTTTTGTTGGGTTGCCTTACCCTCCTCCCCTCCCCTCCGGCTCCCGTTCCCCCCCACACACACTTAAGAGCAGGAAGTGCAGCCTCCACATGGCCCCAGCAGCTCTGCTGTGACTCAGAATCCGCTCTTGGTGCAGGTAGGTGGGACTGTAACCCGATCACAGTGAAAACAAAGATTCCTCTCTTTCCCCTATCTTATGAGAAGGGAGAAGGTCAAAGTGAAAGTCATGGAGTGGTTTGAGTGGAAAAGGGTCGAAATCAAGGAGAGCGTGAGGTTAGCCCAGCTCGGTAGTAACTGGTTTTTAACTTCTCTGGTGTTTAATGTTTCATCACAATAGGTGGACAATCGCTTTCTTTCTAGTCAAGCTTGGGTGTGACGAGTAGTTAACTAGCCCAGCAAGTGTGAAAGACTCTCGTCTCATTCACAATAGCTGCTACAATCCCAATTTGCACGTGGTAAGATCCGAAGATTGAGTGCCCCATTTGTCGGAGGTGAGAAACCATTGCTTGCGAAACAGGTATACTGCAGAACCTGCTTCATTTAAAGAGTCCCAAAGTCAACAAACACATTGGACTTAGTGGAAGAAGGTTATCACTGAGATTGCATTAGTTTTAGTAGGATATAAAATGAATCATTCTGATACTCGAATAAAGGCATTGACTGTCTTTCGGGGTTGTTTTTAATTTCTATAACATTTTAATTTAAAGCGGAACATTGCATTGGCCAGAAGGAGCCTAAATCTTTATAGCAGGCACTACAGTTCCCTCGAAAAAGTGATTGATTTTAAATGTTATGGAGACTGCTGCAATAGGCACGTGTTTTCTTCTTTACTACAAATCATTAGATTATCTTTTGCAGAGTTTTCCCGTTCATTCTGAATGGCCGTTTGGAATCTGTCAAAAGCAGTGAGGAAACAATGCCACTTCCTGGCTTTGTTGCATACCCACATCTTCATCAATTACCTGTCAAGCCGAGAGGCCAGCAGAGTGGTCATCAGTTACTGAGGGGAAAAGGAAATGTTCAAATTAACGCGTGCATGCTTATCTTACATCAGGAGCAGCCAGTTGAAACCCGTACATCTCCCTTTTTTTTTTGCTGTGCCTTGGCTGTTTCTAAGTGGATTTGCTGTAATTGCTTCCAGTAAACTGAATCATTTTTTCCAGGGTTTTAAGTAATTGATGATGTAAAGGTGCCAATAAAACTAGCATGGTGGTTTTCATTTTTTTTAATGACTTTCCAGTAGCACCCCAGTGGGATTAACAATTTGTAGTCCACATAGACCTTCCTGTATCAAGCCTGAGATGTGATATTACTGTCCTTGTCCACGCCTTGTCTTTGAATGATTGTAGTTGTGCGAAGGCAGTGCATTGACTAATCTGGGTCAACGCTGCCTTTGAATTTCATCACCTACAGATCTGATGTTTGTCTGATGTGGTAAGCTCTGCTGGACTTTTGCCCCAAATATGATGCAGTAATCTACCCCAGCAACTCTCCTCTTATCTGGAAGAGCCAGATGTCGTCACTAAACGTGGAATTTGAATCGATAATTCACTTTTTCTCTAGCTGCTCTTTCCTTTGGTGCCTTAGGGTTGTTGGGGCAGGGCTGAAGCAGAGGAGTGCACTCAGACTTGTGCAGAATTTCCCTCACCCACCCACTCACTCATGGCGTAGAGCACTGTTGGAGTCCATTTCCACATCATTCTGCATGCAAGTTAAGTTCCGGGCTAGCCTTATAACACTGGGAATGGATGTCAAATCAGGCATGCTTGGAGAGCTTGTTTATTTAAATTTCATCTGCTAGTCTGGCCCATACTTCAGCCACGCTGGTATCTGCGTTTTCAAGAGGCTTTTAGTACGTTGTTCTGACTTGGTAAAAAGCACAGCTTTGACCTATTTATTTTTATATATTCAAGAGCAGGTTAATAGTCAAATAACTAAAGTTCAAGAAAATGCATTAGTGCAAAGAAGTTGTGGAGTATAGAAATAAGGTAACAGCACATCTGTATTTTTGCTTGTACGTCCATCTGTTCGCATTTGAAACAGACATGCTATTATACTAGATCCTTTTTTTCCCCAATTTGGACTGGATTTATTGCATGATGGGAATGCCCATCACACTGCCTTCAGCTGCATGTGAATAGCGGGCATTGACTTTACACAGTTCACACAATCGCTTTTCCAAGTAGTTCAGGTGGGGAGCTGCGTTAGCGTGCGTCGGCTGCAAATGAACACGTTTATTCCACGCTGAAAAGAGAAGAAAGAAAACACAACGTTTTGGCCGTGGAGCCTTCTTCAGGTGTTCTTTTTTTTTTTTAGGTCAGGCCTGTGGATTCCCAATTTGAGATTTTAAAATGCAGTCCCGTTTGTGCAGAGGACATTCATAGCCATTCAGTCTGCTTAATATTTTGTTCTTGCATTTCAGGTTATGGAGCAACTCACTGTGTGAGTTCCCCTCTCTCTGTCTGGAAATGGTTTTGGCAGGTGCTATCCTGGAGGACCTCAGGCATACAGATTTCTGCTGGTGGAGCCTTTGAGAAGGAGCAGTGTGAAGAATCCCTGGTGGAATTACAAAAGACGCCTTGACCAGTACAGCGCTGCGTGCCGTCCATTTCATTTTGCCCCCCGCGAAAACGTTCGGAACGAGCCGCCAAAATGCCGAGCTCCTCGATCCGGCGGCAGATGAAGAACATTGTGAACAATTACTCGGAGGCGGAGAAGAAAGTGAGGGAGGCGACCTCCAACGACCCCTGGGGCCCCTCCAGCTCCCTGATGTCGGAGATCGCCGACCTCACCTACAACGTGGTGGCCTTCTCCGAGATCATGAGCATGATCTGGAAGCGGCTCAACGACCACGGCAAGAACTGGCGGCACGTGTACAAGGCACTCACCCTGCTGGACTATCTCATCAAGACGGGCTCGGAGCGCGTGGCCCAGCAGTGCAAGGAGAACATCTTCGCCATCCAGACGCTGAAGGACTTCCAGTACGTCGACCGCGACGGGAAGGACCAGGGCATCAACGTGCGGGAGAAGTCGAAGCAGCTGGTGTTCCTGCTGAAGGACGACGACCGGCTGAAGGGGGAGCGCTCCCAAGCCCTGAAGACCAAGGAGCGCATGGCCCAGGTGGCCACCGGCGTGGGCAGCAACAGCCAGATCCATTTCGGCCGCGGCTCCAGCCAGCCCAACCTCTCCACCAGCTACTCGGAGGAGTATGGCAGGTCTGGCGGCTCACCTGCCTCTTACCACGGCTGTAAGTAGACCGCAGGGCAGGCTGGGAGAGCGAGTGTGTCCAGGATGTGAGCTGCAGTGCGAGACCTGGCACTTCCTGCTCTTCTGCTTTCAATTCTTAATGCGGAAACCTAAGAGAGTTTATAAACGAGAGGAGGCCATCAGGCCCCTTTGGTAGCTAGTAATCAGTTGATCCAAGGATCTTATCCAGCCATTTCTTGAGAGAAGCCAGGATCAACGCGACTCCTCCCCAGTTTCTCCATTATTATATCTTCTATTTTTGTGTTTGTATTTCTTGGTCAAGGTAGGTGTTCAGAATTTCTTCGTTTTGGCTGAATTTGCAGAGGTGGTCCAGATTTACTAGGGCGTGACTGTCTGCGTTGCTGCTTTGAAGTGGGTGCCGCTGTAGAGGAAGGCTCAGAGATGGAGATACAGAAGCCTTTGAACGTTTTAAGACAATACAGTCTTGAATTAAAATGAGTCTGGATGACTCGGTTTCAGTTAACATTCTGAGAAAGGCATTGAGCTGTTTTACAGTTTATTTTGCCAGAGGTCATAGAGGCCAAGAGTCTCCAAGAGTATTTAAAGGCTGTTTGTGGTTAATCAGCAGTGTTGAAAGGTTGGTGCAATGATCCTGTGTTTTATAGACGAAGTGCACATCATGAAGCAGTGATGAGATGAACTCGGTGATCCGGTCAGTTGTGTGTCATTCAGTTCGTCTGAATATGTCACAGTTTTCAGAGTCTTTGTGTTGCTTTAAAACTGTGAATGAAGTGATGAGTGGTAGGCAAGAGCAGGACTGATCTTCCTGAAAGCTGTCCGGTGTAGAGGAGGGGGGGGTTTAGGTCCGGTGTTCAGACATCTGTCCTTCCTTCCTGCTGGGTTTTGACCCTCCTATGTTCAGCTCATTGTTTCTAGCTGTAAGACGCTGAATGCTTGCTTGTTGGGTCATGTTGAGCTGCACTCATAGCTGAATCATCCTGATGATGGTCCACCAGCACAGAGTAATGGAAAAATGAGTCAGAGTTCAGAGTTCAGTTTATTGTCATACGCACAAGTGCAATGAAATGCTCATTTGCATGTTATCTCCCATACAGGACGTTAAGGAAACAGCACAAACAAAAACACAGAACAGCAGCAACAACAAGTTCAATAACATACATCTTAGAGGAAAATAAAAAAGAACACACCAGTGGGAGCCAGTGGTAGGGGTAGAGTTCAGTAACCTGACAGCTTGTGGGAAGAAACTGTCTCTGAATCTGGATGTTCGTGCCTTCATGCTCCTATAACGCTTCCCAGAGGGAAGAGTGAGGAACCAGGATGACTGGTATCCTTAATGATACTTCCAGCCTTCCTGAGGCAGCGAGTAGTAAAAGTGTCTGAAACAGAGGGGAGCTGTACTCCAGTGATGGACTGGGCTGACCTGACCGCCCCCTGTAATGCCTTCCAGTCAGACAGCGAGCTGCTGCCAAACCAAACGATAATCCCACATGCAAGCACACTCTCGTTAGTGCACCTGTAAAATGTGGTAAGGACAGTCAAAGACGGTCCAAGTCTTTAACAAAGCAGAAGCAGGATGTATTTTTTCAGGAAGGCATGTCATCGATGAGTACTGGAATCGGAGTACTTACAGCCCAGTGAGATGGATATTTCTGAAGGATTACTGCGAGAGCTGTGGGCTGGGGGGGGTGTGTGCCAGGGAGCACCGAGTCCTAGCCAAGGCAGAATGGATTTATCCCTTAATCTGCAATCCAGGAAGCCAAATGTCTACAGCTGTTTTACAGGCATCATAAGAAATGGTTTCATTGCTGCTTTTTCCTACATCGTTGTGGTGAAATGTACCTGATGCTGCACTTCGTAACATGAGGATCGTTGGTGAAGGTTCTCTCCCAGGAGTCCGAATCGGCCCCCCCCCCCCCCCCCCCCGGGAGTGAACAGACCGCCCCCCCCCCCCCTCCTTCCCTTTGTGTCCCCTTCAGGAATGTGGAATTCCTGTACTCCCAAGGAATGCTGCTCTGCTTGAGTTCAGCTTGTTGAGAGAGGAAGTAGGCTGTGCTTCCCCCACCCCCCAGCTCCTGCACATGACAAAAGAATTTGATCATCTTCCCCAGGGAACTAAATAAATCCTTTAAATTGTTGGATGAGCAGAGAGAAAGAATTGACTGGGGGGGGGGGAGTCGACCTTCCTAAAACAGTGCCTTATAATAATCCGTTTTGAATAACTGTTTCCTGTACTCTTTCAACCAAGATCTGCTTGGTTTGTCTTGCTGTCCCTCCTCTTTTGCATTGTGATGGCTCCTGCGCGTGTTGTGTGTTCGACTTGGGTTTCCGAAATGAAATCGAGCGCACATTTACTTAAGCAAGAGAAGAATTTACAGAAGCCTTAGTGACTAATGTAGCTAGATCAACGCTTGGTGTTCTGCATTAAGAGCCCCATATGCTGGGTATCGGTAAGCCCTGTAGCTGCTCACTTAATGGCTTGTCCTTGGCCGCAGATCATAAGCACTTTTCCCTTTAACACGTCCTTAACTGCAAGATCTATAAAATACCGTATAAACTACTGATGGCAGATTTGAATCCTTGCCTCCCACTTTAGGGCAACAACCTATTGAATTAGCTTAGTATTCTGTATTTCTCATTTCGGTAAGTCGCTACTGAATTCGTTGAACAGTTCTTTACAAAGCTCCCCTTATTACCACTGTCGTTGGCCCAGAGAATGTGCTTATGAGCAGCCTGGTGGAAGCAGAGAAGATGGTGCAGATATGCTGGTTGACAGTCAGTGTCTGTAGGTTGGTAGTTATTCCAGTCCAAGTTTTTTGGAGAAAAACATACTTAACGTGGCTGCTGCTGGCCTTCCTTCTGTTTTTGGAAATGCATCTGGGCATTAATGCATGCCTGAGGTGTTAACAAAAGATCTTTTGAAATTCCTGTAGAGTTTTCCTGTAATTGTTCTTGCAGGAAAATGTAAATGGAGATTTCACTTCGCCTTTACCCAGAGGTGTGTGATTAACCCAGTGTCGGATTACAGGGATTCAGAGCAGAGAGATGACAACAAGGCTCATGGAAATGGTCAGATACTGAGATTTCTTATGTATTCTCACCTCTAGGGACAGTGGTAGCGTGTTCGCTTTTAACTATTGTCTCAATTAAGAATTTAATTATTTGAATTCAGTGTATTGATTAGAAAGATCAAGGTGAAGCACAGCTGTTAGCTTAAAAAAAACGGCGAAATGTCACGCAGTAGTTTGTTGGAGAGAAAAAATGTTTGAACAAATTTTATTTCCCGTCATCCTCATCTAAACTAACCGTGGAGTTAATTTGTAACCCATCTTGTGATTTTTCCCACAAAATGGATGGATGCAATCAGTCCTGACTGCTACTTGTCCCCTTGGCTGTGGCCTAACAGCCTGCATTCAAGGTCAGGGACTAGTCAAAGATTTGCGGTTGTAATTTATTCGCCTGTTTGCTAGTGTTTCTGGAGGACATAGCGTATGTTTATCCAACAGCTGCTGAACCCAGGACAGCCCTGTCAGACTGCCGAGCCTGGGCAGTGCGTCATAGCTCCGTCGTCATCTCAGATTGCCAGGAAGCAGGCTCCAGTGCACGTCTCTGCAGCTTTTACACAACTGCTGCTCCCACCCAGCTGACCAGCATTGAAGGAATGATGCACACCCAGGATTTCTAGGCAGGCCTGACGCAACAGGAGAATTTTAAAGTGTACAGTGGATCAGCTGAGGGCTGGGCGATATGGCCCAAAAGTTATATCACGGTATATTAATTTAGGATGGTAATGATATCACGATATGGATTTTTTTTCTCAGAATTTCACTAGAACACGCTTTAAAAGGAGTACAAGACTTGGGGTAGCAAGTTTTTATTGCCCGGAGTCAACTATTAGGTTATTATTAACTGTTGGCTACTGTGTTGTGCCTCTAGTATTTTTGAAATTTCACATTAATCTGAAGTAGTAGTGGAATAAATTAAGAACATTTGTTTTTGCAGAACTGAAACAACCATAAACTTATGAACATGAGTTAAATAAGTAAATATGTAATACAATATAGGTGATAGCAGAGGTTGCTTGTATTACCACCTCTGGCTAAAATCGTCGCCTGACATAGTTTGCAGCTAACCGTTTTCTGCTCTCGGTCTGACTTTAAATCCCAGCCCTTTCCAAACAACCGATGAAGCACCCTCCTTTTCAACAAGTTCACCACTTGTTCCCGTCTCGCTAAGAGGACGCCCGCAGTTTTTTATTGGCCTCAGATGCGTCTGAGCCACCGGAGATCGAGAATCTTGAACCTCTCCGATTTATACAGCGCCTCTGGAGATGTGAACCGATCCACGGGATTGGATCCCGGCAACCTTCCAGACACAGGCGCCGATCCTTCGCCACAGAGCCACCGCCCCGCCCTGGGGTAATGGTCACATCAAGAGTTGGAGCCAGCTTTTCAGAATGATTGGGTGGTGCTCTTCTTACGTTGCTTTCACATTCACAAAGTATTTTCTCACCCCAACATGGCCTTCTTGAATTGAGAAATGGGGAAGCATTTT